GGACGGACTGTTTTTGCCCTCAATTTCCTGTAAAGCCTCTGGAGCCTAGGGAGGCCAAAAAATGGCTTTTAAAAAGGCTGAACTCAGCTGGCCACTGCGCGCATGCATGCTTGCCAGCTAACAGGGCAACACTTTGTGTGCACTAACAAATTTATCCGCATGCCACCTGTGGCACGCGTTCCATAGTTTGCCATTCTAGCAATAGCAATAGCAATAGCAGTTAGACTTATATACCGCTTCATAGGGCTTTCAGCCCTCTCTAAGCGGTTTACAGAGTCAGAGTCAGCATATTGCCCCCAACAACAATCCGGGTCCTCATTTTACCCACCTCGGAAGGATGGAAGGCTGAGTCAACCCTGAGCCGGTGAGATTAGAACTACTGAAGTGCAAGTCAACTGAAGTAGCCTGCAGTGCTGCATTTAACCACTGTGCCACCTTGGATCAAGTTTTCTTCATCTGCATATTGATCCATTTTTTAGATTACAGAAATATAACGAAAAAGAAAAGGAGGAATTTGGTAATTTCTGCCACTCTAGCCTGTCAAAATTTTTTAAAGAATATATCTATTTTTATTTTAAATCTTAAGCACAAGTTCTTTTATGGTTTTCAAAATAGAAGGGTTCTTATTTTTTTTCTTTCCTTTTCCAATTCTTGCCAAAATATTTTTCACAAGCACTAGCAGTATACTGTTTGTGACCTTGAGTCTTTATCAGGTTTTAAAAACATGTTCCAAACCCTTCTGTTGCAGTCAGTGTAATCAAATAGGAATGAACAAGGATACATTGTTGCAACAAAAAAACTTCAGACTTAGGCTTCCAAGTGGCAGATTAAACTATTTTTAAAAACTTTTTCCTTAAGTATCTTTAATATAATATTATAACAAGTCGAAGTTTGTTAAAATATAAAAAAATTAGTTTAAGCCAAAAAAAATTAAAGTAATAAAAAGGAATAGAGGGGAAAAAAGATCAACCCATCACCTCAAATGGAGAAACAGCAAACGTTGCAATCACTTCAATCCACAAAACATCGTTACAAGCAAGAGCACAAAACTTTTTAAAGCAGTCCAATAGGAATTAAATTCGCTGCTTTGTTCTAACTTAGAGGACTAATTTAGCTTTAAAAAAAAGTTTCTTAGGGCAATCTTCTGAAAATAAAAGAAAAAAGGAACCTTACCAGATGGAACACTTTCACTTCTTTCTTTCGGAGCC